CCCTGAGCAATGCCGGGGAATGCAGAAGATCAAAGGAGCAGGTCCTCATGATGTCGGCTGCCCAAACCATGAGGTCAACTCAGCTCCTGGGTGTTCAGATGCTGCCGGATGTGGCTTCCACACAGGAACAGGGCCAGACACTGACAGCTTCATCAAGTCACAGGGCCTGTTGGCAGCAAAAGGGAGCAACAGTGAGGAAATGCGCTTAACCAAAAATGCATGTGGTAAAGCTGAGCCAAGGCAGTGACAGATAGCTGAAGGGCCCATTGTGGTAACTGGGACGCATGCCTGCCCGCTCTTGCCTCTGGAGTGGAACGCAGGGCCCACGAGTGATGGATGGCAGGTAATTAGGGAGAAGCACAGAGCAAGTGGGCCTGCCCGGCTTCTGTGCACCCGCCCGCTGTGAGGCCTGGTCACGTTGCCAACATGAGCTCTCAAGTGGGAGCTAATCGATGAATTAGCACCTTATGGCACATCTGGGCCCAGCCGGGCTGCAAAATGGCCTTCAGAATTACCACAGAGCAGACCAGAAAAGGTTGGCCAGTAGAATAGACAGCCTGCCCTGGGTAAGGTAAACCTCCTGAAGTGACAGTCACTGAGCAGAATCTTTCCCGGATGGCAGAGAAATGTGGCTGACAGGAGTCGGGGAATGTGGGGTGGCAGTGTTTTCATACTGGCTGCAACGGTCAGGGTTGGGGTCTCCGAGGCCCTGTCCAAGCTGCCATGTGAGTTAGAAACCCTGATTTGAGCCCCTCCTCCCTAGCTGGCTGGTCATTCTGTCCTACCCCTGAAAAGAAGGAAGCCGTAGCAACCTGCCCACCCTGATTCCTCAGCAGCTGTTGAAGGTTCCGGAGGGGGCCCTGGAAGAGCAGATCATAGGAGATTGGAGGGCAGGTCAGGCTTTCTAAGCCACCTGGAGGCCCACACACACCGAGGTTTCCAGCATCTCCTGCCAGAACCATTCCACTGTTTGTTCTGTGAACGTTGCTGGAGTGGCTACTGGGTGCCAGTCGCTGGGCTTCGCAGACTTGTGTCTCAGATGACATGCTTGGAACTCTGAAGAGGCCCAGGGAGTAGAAGCAAGAGCTACCCTAGTTACTGGTTCTGCCTCCTAGTTGCTTTGAAACTATACTCTCTTCCATTCAGCCAAACTGTTGTGGGTTGAATTTATTCCCCTCTGAAAAATATATTGAGGCCCTAACCCCTGGTGTCTGTGAATGTGACTTTATTTGGAAATAGGGTCTTTGCAGATGAAATCGAGTTAAGAGGAGGTCATGCTGGAGTAGAATGGGCCCTTAATCCAATATGACTGGTGCCCAGTGGAGACAGAAGCACACAGGAAGATTGCAACGTGAGGGCACAGGCAGAGACAAGGGTGAAGGAGCTGTAAGCCAGGGAATGCCAAGGATTAACAGCCGCCACCAGAAAGAGGAAGGAAGGCTTCTACCCAGAGTCTCAGGGGGAGCATGGCCTTGCTGACACCTTGGTTTCAGGCCTCTAGCCCCAGAACTGCGAGAGAATAAATTTCTGTTGAAACCACCCAGTGTGTGGTACTTTGTTCCAGCAGCCCTAGGAAATTACTACGGGCACCAACTATGTGCTGGGTATTGCTCTAGGTGTATTATGTGGTGGTAGTTGGGGGTGTGGGGACAGATATGAAAGCAAGTAGACACGACCTCACTTCATTCTTCAGTCATTCAGTTGCAGATTTTATTGAGCATTTACTCTGTGTGCCAGACATTGTGCTGGGGCTGGGGTATAGCAGTTAATGGAATGGACCAAACTCCCTCCCTTAAGGGGTTTATACTCTAGTGGGAGAGACAGACAGGAGCATAATGATAAGTAACCACAGTAACATAAGTATATTAAATGCTGAAAAGCACAAGGAGAAAAAGTACAGCAGGGAGGGGAGAGAGACCTAAGGGCCGGGTTGTAGACTTAAATAGGGTGGTGGAAGCTTCCTTGGGAAGGTGACATTTGAACTAGTGCAGTGGTTCTCAACCCTGGCTGCCTATTAGAATCACCAGGGAAGCTTAAAATAAAACAGAACAAAAACAGTCAATAGCAGAACCCCAACCCAGGCCAATTAAGTTAGAATCTCTGGGGTTGGGGCTCTGAGACCTCTCCTTGTAAAATCTCCCGGATGATTCTGCCAGGCACCAGGTCTAGCAGGATGAAAGCTGCAGTGGAGAAACGTGCTCTCTGTGGCCCAGCGAGGTCACCTGTGGAGAAGGAGAATGGTCCAGGCCTGTCCTTGTCCATACTTGGCAGACAGACACCTGTCCTGCCTGAGTGCCAGGCGAACTCAGACAGATGACCCTGGTTCCCATTCTCTTTCTTTCTTCTTACCCTGCCTCTGCCAAGTTTGGGGACTTTTTTCCTTCCTACTGTGGCTTCTCACCAGCCTTGGACCCCGAGTGGAACCACTACTGGGCCTGATGTCACTGGCTTTGCATTTGAAATAGTGAGGTTAGCTGATCGTGCTCTTTGACTCTGGAGCAGCCAGTTTTGACCCCAACTTGCCTTGGCTTTGATCTCCTGAGAGTTAAAGAAGAATTTCCAGAACAACTATGTCACGGTGCTTTTCACAGGCTAGGAGAGACCTTTTCCTTTCTCCTGGGTGGAGTGGGGCAGCTGCTGGGAGACTGAGAGTTCGGGGAAGTGGCAGGCAGGCCAGGATGGGGGTCTGCACTTGGTTGGGAAGCCCAGGTCAGCATCTGGAGCCTAGCAGCTTCCCCTTACTCGCTCCTTTCTCACCCAGCGTGCTGGAAACCCAGTCTCCCCCTGGGTGGGTGCTGAGCCTGTCTGACAGGTCAGACACCAGGCATCAAAGCTTGATGGTGATTCCCGACTCCCTTTCATCTTCTGAGCACCCTTCCACATGGCTGCCCACTCCGGGAGCAGCTTGTCTGATGTCCAGAGTCCTGTGGTGTGATGGGACAGTGTCTCTCCTCTCTGCTCCTCCTGCTCCCCACTTTTTCTCTTTCCCCTCATTTGTCTTGTCTCTTGTCACATCCCCCCCATTGTTCCCACTCTCTTTGGCTTCCCTCCTGCAGTTGTCTTTGCTGATCCAGGCTAGGATCAAAGTATCTAGAGGAGCTGGGACGCGGGGAAATAGCAATGGGCTTGGGACCTGAGGTGACACAGCCTGGCTGAAGCCCGAGGATGCACTCCCCGGTGGCCCAGCCTTTTTCCATTTCCCCTCACATGAGCCGGAAGCAGCTGCTGAGTGTACCCTCTTGAGGGAGTCCTGCACTCGCCCACTTGCAACATCCCACGTGCCCCTCGCCTCCCTCTGCCTCATATACGATGCCAGACCACTGATTATGCTTTTATTCACTTCAGATGACTGTAGGCCAACAGAGAGCATATTATTTATTGGTTCAGCTCCTGGACTATGGAGATAGGTTGCCTGTGTGGCCATGGGCAGGTGACTCACCCTCTCTGTGCCTCAGTTTTCTCACCTGTAAAAGCAGGATACTAACTTCAGGGTGAATGTGAGGCTTAAATGAGTTCATGTAAAGTGCACAGTGTCCAACTGTTTTAAAATGTTGGTTTCATTAGTATCCAGGTGTGGTGAATTAGGAGGTGATTTCCATCGAAAAGATAATTTGTTACAGTTCCCAAGAGGTGAGGGCACACAGTGTTGTGGGGGGCCAGGCAGGGCACCAGGGTCGGGCAAGAGGCAGAGTGTCAGGGGAATGTGGACAGGAGCCTTTATTGTGGGAAGGAACGGGGGAGACAGAGTAAGCAGGCTTAGGGCTGCCCCGAGTTTTCTGGCACCTGTCCCTGGGGTGATGAGGGCAGGGTCCCGGGTGTGGGAGCCTGACTGGGGGGGGTGGTTTCTGGACCCTGAGGTGAGTTGCTGACTCTAGGAACTGGCTGGCCTGGGAGGGACAGGCTCCCTAGGGTGAGCAAGGCCCCAGATGTCAAACATCAGAATAAAAAGACACACTTAATGCACCCACACATTTTCAGAATAAAGTGACAAAATATGTTTAGTTCTACATTCTTCCTTTAAAGTGAGACTTGTCAGTTTTGGAGCCTCGGGGGCTGTGGTGAGGAAGCCACACAGGCCGTGGGGGGAGAGCCCATCGTGCCGCTGTCTCCGGCTTCTTCTGTGAGGTGGACACAGCAAGCTTTCGAGCCTGAGGGCCCCCGGAGGACTCAGTGACATGACGTGTCGCAAGCTCCCAGCCCCATCCAGGCCACCGGGAGCAGCTCAGTACACGAGAGTCACTACATTTTTGTTTTCATTTCAAGAAGAGAATTCTAGGGGCCCTTACACATTCTGGCACTGGGTCCTCACCTCCGGTCGTCTGTTATGAAACAAAAGGAAGCTGTTTCAGTCTTAGAAACACAAGCCTCAGAAACATAAACGATTGCAACCTGCAGTGTGGGGGCCGGCTGGTGCGTCTGATGCACGCCCGGGGATGAGGCCAGAGGAGCTGGTGGGGATGGGTTGGGGGGCTTCCAGAGATGCTCCCTGCCTGCGTCTTCCCCTCTCTCCTCCCTGAGCCTCCTTTAATCTGTCCCTTCTAGAGGATTTCTTTGGGATGGAGAACTTGGGGTTGGATTTCCTTGTGTATGAAGCGAGACCTTTGTGAGGCTGCCATTCGGTCCTGAAACACTTTCCAGAGCAGATGAATCAAAGGCCCCCATCCCCAGGCCCGAGAGGTGACCGAGAATTGGGGGGTCTGGTCCAGTCTGTGGTAAACTCAGGCAGACACACCCTCCCAGACCTCCTTGCCTCCACCCTCTCTTCCTCCTGAGCAGCAGTGAGAACATAAAAGGACTGGGGGTGTTGCCTGGCCAGCAGGGAGAGGTCAGCATTCTTGGGTCTCCAGGGCCAGGGCCTCTTTGTCGTCTCCCCAGCAGCCACGTGGAGCCCCCGGTACTAGTAGTGCTGGCCCGCAGACCTCCTAAGGCCAAGGGTGGGCCTGGCTGTGTCCCCCTGACCTTTCTCCCTCACCGGGATCTCCCTCTGCCTGTCTCCCCAGCATCCTGTTTGCTGACATCGAGGGCTTTACCAGCCTGGCGTCGCAGTGCACTGCCCAGGAGCTGGTCATGACTCTCAACGAGCTCTTTGCCCGCTTCGACAAGTTGGCTGCGGTGAGTCACCCTGCCTGTGCCCTCGGCACCCGAGGGCCTCAGCCAGGGCCAGCAGGGTGGCCCAGTCTGGGCTGCCTGAGGGAGGGTGCTGTGGTCAGGGACCCGATGAACCCCAGGGACGGGCACTGTGCCAGGGTGTGCCCTGCCTGGCAGAGTCTGCTGTTGGGAACTGGTGACTGGCGGAGGTGGCTGTGTGTCCTTACGCCCTGCATCAGCCCCGGCCACACACTTAGTAGGAGATGCTTTCTCAGAGTCATGGGTCATGGGGGAGGGAGTAAGTGAGCCCTCCATCGGTGGAAGGGGTGGCGAGGCCTGCAGGTATCACTGCCCAGACCCCTGAGGAACTTCTGTTCAATGGGGCAGATTAGGTGCCTCATCTGCCACTTTCCTGATGAGCGTGGCCAGAGTGATCAGAGGATGAGTCTGAATCCCAGCTGGGCTGCAGACAGCGTGGGCCACCCCTCAAGGGCTTCCAGAGAGAGGGCTCTTCAACCTTGGAACAGAGTGGAAGTAGCACCCCAGGACACTTCCTTCATTAGTCCCTGTTTACACTTTGTCATCGTTTCCCAGCTCTGTGGCTTTGGGTGATGCTCTGGGCCTTTGTGGAGTCACTATAGGTTGGGAGTCACTTGCCATAGTGCCCACCAGCACCTGGACTTGTTCCCCTTTGCCCTCTGCAGGCAGGAAGAGGTGGGCCTCGCTTCATGGATTGTTTCTATCCCTGAACTCGGTGAACAGGTCCATGCTTGGCACTTGGGCACTCGGGCACTCGATGAGCCTTTAATAAGTCCAGTGTCCAGCTTCATAAATTAACTTCCTGGAGGCAGACTTGGACAGATCAGTACTGGTGATTAATGACCTTCCTTCTCAGTCCCAGTTACAGATGTTCCTGCCCAGTGACTGCGGTGCCATTCCTCGGCAGGCATGTCAGCCTTGTGGGTGTCTTAGCACTCCCTCCCTGGTCGAGCAAAAGTCTTTTTGATAAAAACTCAGGCGGAGGGTCAGGCAAACTTGTGGTTAAATCTCATTTCTGCTTCTCTTTGTACAAGAATAATAACCAGAAAACTGTTTATAGAACCTTAGGCCAGGAGTCAAGGCGTGCTCCAGGAGGTGTGGTGGGACTGGGGATACTCCCACTCAGCCTGGGGTCTTCTACACACTGACCTGACAGGCTGCCCTATTTGCTGCCCCGTGGACCCTTCTTGAGCCCCTGCAGGGGCCAGGAAAGTGAGTTCCTGAGTGTGGGGAGGCTGGAACGCTTCCCCAAGGGCTGCTTAGCCTGTCCTCTGTCCCCCACGGCTTTTGATAAGCCTGTCCCGGGACTATTCCACGCATCGTGCAGGCGCTGGGTCTGTGCTCACTGCCCTAAAAGGCAAGTTATTCCAGGCATGGAGTGAATCTGTTTGCTTCCCGTTTCTTTCCCTCCCACTTCACTTTCTTGCTATTTTTAATTTTTAAAATTAATTTGCTTTCCAGGAGAATCACTGTTTACGTATTAAGATCCTGGGGGATTGTTATTACTGCGTCTCGGGGCTGCCTGAAGCGAGGGCTGACCACGCCCACTGCTGTGTGGAGATGGGCATGGACATGATTGAAGCCATCTCGTAAGTGCCTGTCTCTAGGGGGACTGTCCATCTCCATGGGCACTGTCTCTCTTTAGGTGGGCTGTCCATCTCCAGGAACATTGTCTCTCTGCAGGGGGACTGTCCCACAGCCCAAGTAACTGACTGGCCACCTGCTTGAACGATGGAGGCAGGGAAACAGTGGATAGAGCCATCTCCCAAGAACCATCTGGCCTTGTGGGAGAGTTGATTTGCTCCTGCAGCTGTTGAGCCTTCTCCTGGGCTCCTTTTACCCACAGCAGCCTGGGAAGCTTTTCCCTGAGGAGCATGTCCTGCAAGAAGGGAGGGCTTTGCAGGAGGTCTGGATCCACCTCTGCAGTAGCAGAGGATAAACCCATAGTGGTGCCATGTGGGCCTTGCACTCCAGTCCCTCCTGTCCTCTCACCATCACCCAGCCAGGGGTAGATCCCACCAGCCCCATTTCTTCCCAGAGGAGAAAGGCTGGGCTTATGGGTAAATAGCTCTCCAGGGTAATATTCCTAGGCAGGGGAAGTCAAACACAGGTGTTCCCATTTTAAGAAAATCGATCCATCCTGGGAATATAACAAGAAGGATTGGGGCCAATTCTTGGTCATTGCTGACCATAGAAGGAGCCTCTGGTCATTAAAAATCTTGGGACAACCCAAGCTTACATGTCAAAGCTTGCATCCAGGTTCAGTAACTTAGAACTTTAGATGTAACTGGGCAGGAGCCGAAGAAATGCCGGAGGACAAGGTCAGAGGTCAGAGTAGCTGGCCAGGAAGTGGCCAGGTCCATGAAATTTGGCTCAGTCCCGTTCGGCAGTGTTTGTTGAGTACCCCTGTGGGCCTGGGCTCGCCAGTAAGTCCCTCGCCCAGAAGCATGTAGTCTGTTGAGGGAGAGAGGTTGGGACCCCACCATTCTGATACCAGGCATGCCGAGTGGACGAGTGGCAAACTGTGGTGGGAGGTGTCAAGGAGGCAGCCATTGATTCCACTGAGAGGACCTAGAAGGGTCATTATTAATGACCAGGGGCTCCTTCATGGAGGAGGTGGCCCTGGCGTTAAGCCAGAAAGGTAGAATGAGATATCGTCAACCTAAGCAAGTGGCCAGAGGCATTGTGGATGGAAGGAACAGCTCCAGGAAAGTATTTGCGGAGCTGATCCCAGGACAACGGAAGTGATAGATGACGTAACGTTCCCGGCAGTGGGTGTCAGCCTCACCCTTGTGAGCTGGGCTGGAATCCTCACGCCCTCCACGTCAGACTGGCGCCCACCCCTGGCTGAGTGGGCTCGTCCCCGGGGTCTCAGGGAGGACCCAGGTCCCTAAAGAGTGCATACTGCGTAACCCCAGAATACCTGTACCCTCCTTCGCGGACTCTGGGCCCCAGACACACACCTGGAGATGTATAGCTTCTGTCCTACTCCCCTTCCCACAGAGGGCCCGCCTGTCTATTGGGGACCCCCTGGGTACATGATGCACATAGCAGGGGCTGGAGCTTACTTCTAGCATATAGGGGACACCTCGTCCTTTGCCCCTGCCTAGGCTCCCCTTTTTCCTGAGCAGACATACTTCCTCTTTTACCCACCTTCCTCTATTATCCAGCGATGTGGGTAACCCCAAGAGCATTATATGTATTGGCTTTAACTTCCCTTTCCGGCTCAAGTCGGCACTAATGTTCGTTTGCATTTTCGGAACGCAATTTAATTATTTAATTGACTGAGGATGGCGACGGCCCCCCCGTGCCCTAGTGGGGGCAACTACTGGGGTCTGGGTTTTAGTGTGAGGTGCTGCGCCACCTTGTGGCCAAGCCAGGAAGCAGCACCGCTCACAGTTCACAGCACCTGAGCTCCAGCGCCCAGCCTCGTCCTGTCGGTTGGACAGTCTCAGACTGGGTTTGGGCTGGCCCAGAATGAAATGACTTTTTGAACCCTGCACCTTCTGACGTGCCCCCTGAACCCCTGCTTTCCAGCCTCCCTCCCACTCTGTGTGCCTGGCCTGTGATCCTCTCCCAGCCTCATCCCTGCTCCATCCCCAGGTTGGTCCGGGAGGTGACAGGGGTGAACGTGAACATGCGCGTGGGAATTCACAGCGGGCGAGTACACTGCGGTGTCCTTGGTCTCAGGAAGTGGCAGTTCGACGTCTGGTCTAACGACGTCACACTGGCCAACCACATGGAGGCTGGAGGCAAGGCTGGGTGAGTGAGGGCTGTGGGAAGGGCCAAGATGTAGCCTTCCACCCAGCCCCACTCAGGGCGGCTGTTGTGAGGAGCGGGGCTGGAGTGGGCGGGCTGGAGTAGCTTGAAACCCTGGCGGTGGCAGAGTCTAAGTAGAAGTTTTTCAACTTGACAGAATTCTTACATGACACCGTGGCAAGTGGTAGGGAGCATCAGGTCAACTTTGCAAGTCTTCACCCAGAAGCTATTTACACAGATGCAGTGGCTTGTGAGGTGCAGGAGCTCTAGAGGAAGGAGGAACCACAGAAAGTTTCCTGGGTATCCAGGACAGAAAGGAGGTGGGATGTGAGCTGGCCTGGGTGACAGGCGGGATTTGGACAGATGAAGAAGGTGGGGTTGGCAGAGTGTCAGGTAGAGGAGTGGGGTTAAGACAGACACAGGATAGGAAAACACAGCATTTCCAAGGAATGGAAGTAGAGCAGATGGCCTTGTAGGGACCAATGGAGAAAACCTGTGTTAAGAAAGACATTCATGCCAGGTAGGGATTTGGACCCAGTTGGTAGTCAGTAGGAGCCACTGCTGGCTCCTGAGGAGGTTTGCAAAGTTTGAGACTGGAGCCCGGCAGGCTAATAATGTATTGTATTGTTATAATAATAGATCATAGATGTGAGATGGTGTAGTTGTGGTGAACACAGCTGGGACAGGCCCTGCCTGGGCCATTTTGATGACATTAGAGGGACACAGGGCATTGAGTAGGGATCAAGGTTGGGGTTACCATTTGAGCCACACTTTGAATCACGATTGAGTCTGTTCTAGTTAGCTTCTGCATGGCAGCCAGAGTTCTGAACTCAGATTTTCTCCCTCCTCTCCCGCTTCCCTCTGCACCTGCAGACGCATCCACATCACCAAGGCCACACTCAACTACCTGAACGGGGACTACGAGGTGGAGCCAGGCTGTGGGGGCGAGCGCAACGCCTACCTCAAGGAGCACAGCATCGAGACCTTCCTCATCCTGCGCTGCACCCAGAAGCGGGTCCGGGGGCCGGGAGCTGGGGGCAGGGAGGCTCCGGGGCTTCGTTCTTTGGGGAGGGACGTTTTCTTGGCCTGCTGCTGCCTTCTCCTCTTACATTCTCCTTGAGCCGAGTCATGGATTCGTTGGCTCCTGCATCTTGGGAAGGACATACCAGGAGCCCTGAAAAGGCTGAGGGCAAAGAGGGAATGTTTTTTCAATTTGCTTCTGTTGCAAAAACGTGCAGGCTCAGATCAGTTAGCAACAGTGCCTCAGAAGGTCATGAGATGGAAATGAAGCCTCTAGGAGATCTGTCTACCACAGGTTTCATCTCACTCCTTTTCTGTTGCCGGAACTCAGCGGACTTTGGCCCTTGTCCGTCCCTCCGTGTGTGTCCGTCCC